GATAGATTAGTCTGGATCCACATTCCTCTGCATGGAAACCCTCGGCAGCCGAGACCAGCCAATAGCAAAATGACGCAATAATTTTAATACATCCCGTAGGAGGGTTTGTCAAGTTGGATAAAAAGGAAAAAAGGACAGTTTCGACACCCAGGCTATTTGCAGTACCTTCTATGAAATATAAATAAATGCTAAAGACTAGCTCATCGTAATTCAGTGTTACGTACGATATACGCAGAGCCTACCAGCGGGCATTTTCTGAAAAAAAAAGAAAAAAAACGGTGCACAATTATAAAATGAAATAATACATCAAAAGTAAAAAGAAACAGTAAAATTGGACACGACCAGAGACATATTGGTGGAGTAGTCCTATGGTAAGGTCACCAGGGCAGGGAGCAGTCCACAGACATATTGGTGGAGTAGTCCTATGGTAAGGTCACCAGGGCAGGGAGCAGTCCACAGACATATTGGTGGAGTAGTCTTATGGTAAGGTCACCAGGGCAGGGAGCAGTCCTGTCATGTGATACCACCAGGGTTTTCAGGGGGGTTTAAACAGGATTGTCAAAATGGCTGAGGAGAATTAAGACTATGAATTGTGAAGATAGACTTCATGTGCTCTCTGGTGCGCTAGAAGTTTGTTACGATATAGCTAATATTTTAATTTTGTAAGCTATTAAAGAAGCCCCCTGATATCAGAGTGTAGACGTCAGGCGATGTGTAACGTGACAGTAACCAACGTGTATCAATCCCCTCTCCTACCGCCATGTCGTATGGAATGATCGGGTGGTGTGAAGATTTGCTTGACTGCATTCAGTTTTCTTTAGAATTATTGAGGAAGGACATCGACAATCATACATGTTCTATAGCAAAGATCACTTTGATTCTCTCTCCTGACCCTCGGCTAACTGGCCATTTCAACTTGACCGGCAGGTTGAACCCAATTGTGTCATTTTTGTTTTTGTTTTATCTAAGTTGCTTATCTATTTTACGTTGTTCTGAACCCGTGAAAAGGGTGTAATAGTTCGATGCTATAGATTATGTCCACACCACACTTGATTAGGTCGGAGTTTTACTAAAGCTCCTGGGCTGAATTGACGCATTCAAGCGTAGTTTTGTTGATCAGGTAATACTGGAGTTATAAAGGCAACGCCCAGTGCTGGATTGGCTTGGCTTTTATTAATGTTGTGGTATGTTGAAGCCAAGCTATTCATGGAGAAGAATGCCACCTATTTCAATGAGGGTTTACTCATAAGACGACCGTGATAGCCCCTTGGGAACTGTGCTACAGAGAGGCACACTCTGTCCCTTTAACGGGAACTCTGTGTGTGTGTGTTTGTGTGTGTGTGTGTGTGTGTGTGTGTCCTCTTAATAACTTCTTGGTTGCTGCGACCACCGCGGTGCTCATGACAATGCCGTCGACTTTAGATCGTTTTCTAGGAAGGTGTTTTAAAATAATTGCAATAAATTATAGTTGTTCCCCGCGACTTTCTGTGTTAAAGAAAGGGGGTGTATAGAATTCATTGTAGATTCAATTGACCACACCCTAGAAATTTGGGGGTTTCAGTACCAAACCCCGAATTTTATCCACTTTGCCCTGAGCAGGCAGATCATGATTTATTCCATCAACATTCCGCACATTAAGTTCGTCTATAAGAGAACATGCTAGATCAAGAAAATATTTGCTAATCTGCCATTGATGATTCTAAGCGACTTAATCCTCCCTAAAATATACTCAGTTTTTGTTAATTGTTACTGTTAATCAAGAGGCTCCACGTAGTCAATAGAGACGTGTTTCTGACCGGGGCTGTGAGACGCTAGACGCAGGAAGGTTTGCAGATAGTCTTCACGTGTATTAGACGTGTTTCATGGAAGGCTTGGCGCCTTGGCTGGCCACTGGGCAGTGCTTGGACACGACACGCCCAAACGGGGGAGAGTCCACGTGCAAGCGCACGGAGTGACCAGTGCCAAGGCCGCCTGTCCGTCACGGTGACCAACACTCAACAGCACAGTTTGTCTGTATTATGTAAAATGTCGCTGAGAATTCGATCATGAATACAATGTCATGGTCTGGCGTGGGCAGTTTGGGACTTGGGTCAGTTATCCTGTCTGAGAGCATGTCCACCTCACTTGCACCAGTCTTATTCAACTCTCAAGCCACATTAAGCAGGGGTCAACCAATACGATAACAATGCGGCCAGTGGTCAACCAGCTCATACCCCTGTCCACTGTACAGTACACGTACCCTCTACCAGGGGCACAATGGGGTTTTCACCAGAGATTCACCGATATGTCTCTGACTTAGACTGGATTCCCAAGCCTAGCTGGACAGTTCTCGGACACGACAGCACATAAATCCCCATGGGGATTCACGCTACATTGCTATCAACCTAAGGGCCTTAAATGTCTGTCACGCCTACCGAATCAGCCAGGGGGTAATTAACTTTTGCGCTCGCTCTGCCTCCGATAGTTAATTACCCCCTAATAAGAGCTTTAGTAGACGCGACAGACAATTAGGCCGCTTAAGTTGATAGCAATTTAGTGAGAATCCCCTTGGAGATAGATCGATCCAAAGTTAGTACGATAGGCTCTGGGAATGGTTCTTTATCCATGATACGATTCGCGCTTGAGAGTGCACGTACTTATTCTGCGACCGACTTTAAGTGACAGTACGGGTGTTTACCTCAGGTGTGCTTGCAAGGTACAAAGAAAGAGACAAAAGGGGTAAAAAAAATTACATCACGATAAACATCCCCTATGATATTGTGCATTATTCTGCTGACGCACAGCTTTGAGCATTGAATAAAATGTGATGACATGAAACCCTAAAATTACACAGAACTAATAAACTATTTTCAGCACGTCTGTTCCGTAGTTTACCTGTTTACCAGCAGATTTTACCTGTCTTCTCTGTCAACATATCACTTACCTGTACGTTTTGTGTCAACCAGTTAATACCGGTTTGTGTACCAATGGACGAGGTACCAAACAAACATTACTTCACTCACGGCAAGGCGGGGCAGGCTAAAAAAAAACAAAAAACAAAACAAAAAAAAAATCATGACAAAATTAGAGGTCTCCTCCAACATTCACCGAAATAACGTTGTCATATAAAAACACTCAATATGAATCATGACAGAAATTCATGACAGAATTAGAGGTCTCCCCAACATTCACCAAAATAACGTTGTCATATAAAAACACTCGGTATGAATCATAAGCAGTCTAATCAGACGCTATCATGCGCCATTTTTACACGAATTTTTTACACGAAGAAAGACTTGTTTCAGACAAAGTTTTCCTTTGTCTAAGTGAGCTACTACAAATTTCCCTAGCACTGAAAAAGACAACAAATTGGTCTAAAAGTAATTTTGGAAACTCTGGCGGTCTCCACTGTAGTAGGATAACCACTTAAGTCTCTCTAGGAAGTATAAAAGCAACAAACTAGACTGATAGTAATTTAAGTCGTCTTATCATTTGATATCAACTAAATATTGCAGCGTGTACCTGTATGAACACGAAAGAAGTCAGTTAAACTTGAAGCGAAAGATGTATGTTAAAGCTTTTGTTTAGAGGTATCACTGAGAAAATATAGCGTCCGAGAACGCGTCGATCCTAGGTATAAAAATATCCAACCGACATAAACAAGCTGGTATGTAACTACAACACAGTGCTAGGATCAGGGGTGTGCGTATAAAATAAGACATTAAATATCTGAAGTGACATCAACACAAAAGGTAACGGGTATGCATATCACCTGAAAGGTTTTTAAATCACATCTGTCAATACTTCACTATTTTATTGTAGAGAACCACCCACTTCCATAACATAGAGCACGGCACTGTTCCGATGTGTATAATCCTATATGATCAACGGTTTGGTTTATTTATTTATTATTCCCTAAGAAACGGGTGCGTCCTCCAGTCTTTCATTGTCTGGGGCAGAGATGTGGTTGTATAAGCCAGTATCCCGGGGACTGCAGGGGTTAAAACGATGTACACACTTCCTCAGACACGCACTTCATGTTGACTTAGCACCTTTTAGCACCAAAACATCGACAATTGATGACATAAAAGCGATAGGTTAATATAAGCGTCATTGTGGTAACTGAGTACAGCGCCACGGTCATGTTAGCATTTTTATGCCAAATTGGGCGATTTCTTAAAAGCATTTGAGTGTCTTTCACTTTACAATTAATGAAATGATGCACGTGACATGCACCATAAGAGCAGCAAAGAAGAACATTTCTCCCAAAACTCTTAGTAAACATGAAGAGTTTCCGATGGTTTTTGCAATGCTGAACTGCAAAGTGACCTGAGCACTGAGTTAGCAAAGAGTGAGCGGGTCTGTTTTCATTCCAGACAATGTACATCACTGGAGAACGATTATTTAAAATCCATTTGTGAAACAGTTGGCGGCTAGTCACGTTTCTCTTTAGTAAGGACTGTTTAAGTCAACAAACAAAATGAAAAGGAATGCGTGTAGGAAGAGCGGTTTTGTTTACGGACGTCACAGTGCGCGTGTGGGGTGTGGCATCAACATTCAAGGACAAACAGATCAGAAAAATGATGAAATAGGTAAAGGGTCGTTTGAAACGTTTTTCGATAAGCGCAAGTTCGTTTTACGACGTTTTACAATTGGACAAATAATTCTTCGTCTAAAGAAATAAAAAAATATGTTCAAGGTTGTCCGTGTATTGTAGATAACAAATCAATTTCTTATCACAGCGTTCTTTTTACATGTAAAACTGTCACATGTTTGATGTCTTACCTACAACTAGGCCTTAAATAGCATGTTTCAGAAAAGTTTAGCATTGGTCGCTCTGTCATTAATTGTAACAATCTTATTGGTCGTCCAGGATAACTGTAGTTGAAGCCATTATGTCACCGTACACTGAAAGTCTGTCAGAGCCCTAGCTGTGCCTGTGGAAAACTCCAGAATGATATAATTTGTAACATTAGTCAGGTTTCAAACTTGTGATTGTATCTACAGTGATTGGCACTGACAGTGGACCATATTTAATGGTATTGTATCGAAAGTTTGAAAATAAAGTTTGTACATTTATTATTTCATGATATCTATAATTTCCTAGAATTGTATTCATTCCTATATTCTCCTCATGACAAATTATTTTATCTTTGTTGTAGCCAAGCCTCCGTATTGAAGTGAGGCTTATAGTGTTTGAGATGAAGACAAGCGGACTTAGCATCACTGTAGCGACATACTTGTGTAGCCTGTTGATACTGAGTTCAGGTAAGATACACCATAATACTAGCCCCATCTCATCTTCATCATTAGTCTGAACTTTTCACTTTCTACACACTATTGAAGCAGAGTACCTCAGAAAGCTTTCGGTGACTTTGTGATCTCCCTCAGTGGATGTTATTATGAGACTGATATCAGTATTGTGTAGAAAGTGAAACTATTAACTTATTATCTACGCAGATGAATTCCATCAGAACCCCACTTTATCTTGTCTCTCCAATCTAGTATTTGTCCGAGTGATATCCCAACTGCTCTGCTTTGTACAATTGTTTATCTGCACCTCACTGCACACCTCTAGAACGCTGGTCAGTTTGCACAACTTCAAGGACACGTGTTACACACAACTGCACCATAAAAGGGCGACTTTGCCAATTCTTGTTTTTTACTCAAAACTGTATGAAGCTGAAAAGTTAAAATTTTATTGCATGCATTAACGGGCGTGAAATTCATAAGGTAGTGTGTGTGTGTGTGTGTATTATCGGCCGCCAATGCCATCTATCTGCTTTACAGTCAAATAGAACGATTACCTACAAAGAGCGGTTAATTCCACCAACATAAATGTCAATAGTTTTGGTTGTGGGTACACTAATATCTTCTGAATTAAGCACCATCCCAGCAAACACATAACGTAATTATAACGTTAACATAACGTTTATTTTACAAATAAAAAATAAAGAAAAACGTTATGGCCACGTTATGGTAACGTTATGGTGTTGTTATGGTAACGTTATCGTTCCATGTTTGCCGGGATTTACTATCATTAGGATGATGGACTTTAGATGAAATTCTCGTCATTGCTGCTTCAGCTGCGTTCTAGCATGAGCAGGATTGAACCCCCTCATAGGCGTGGGAGGAGGCCCGCTAAGAGAAGCAGGACACCTAGGACTATACTTAATCTGTTTGCTTACTGGGTAATTTTACCCTTGTTGCTTAACTCACTCCCCCTGTCCTGCTGTGTTCCTGCGAAAAACAGCTTCCCAACTCCTGGTACGTATGAGTGTAACCCACATCTACCTATAACCATCTTACCGTCAATCACCTAGGAAACTATCAGTCTACGTCGATCAATCCAACCCTGCACTCAGATTAACTGAAAGACATGCCTTCTGTCGTTTCCAACATACTCCAATAGTCGACAGCTTTTCCTGTATTCTTCTCAACGGCAGGAGGAGGCGTGCCATTCTGACTGCATTCAGCAAGAGTCCTCGGAGTTAGATCGATCGATGAAGACTGATAGTTGCATTCTGAATGGGAACATAGGGTCCATTCAGAATAGAAGATGCGAGTATCAACTGAGCCAAGGATCAAATATGGCGGCCCTACTTCATGAAAGGAATACCGCTAAATCCTGTAATGGTCTGTCCGCCTCTCACACGCCTCCCCACGCGTCCGATCGAATGGAGCCGAGATTTAATAACTGTGCCCCTGCAGGGACGACGCGTAGGGAGGCGTTTAACAGACTGAGAGACCATTACAGGATTAAGCGGTCTTTCATTTAGAGCCCGCCATATTTTGGATCAGTTGAAAATCGGATCCTCTATTCTGAAGGGCTCCATAGACAATGTAACAGCATGCATACGTAGTTTACGGTGGTTTTGTTATAATGTACTCCAATTTAACTGTTGACTTAAATAGCATGAAATAGATGAGAAATTAGCCATTCCTCAAATATATAGGTCTATGATTAATTGAGAGAGGTGTGGATTTTTTCAAAATAAAAACTATTATAAACAACAGCGTACAATGACCAGTTGGCATTAGACCAGAAACATAATACTATTGCAGTTCAGAGTAAATCTAGTAAATAGATTTCCTATGTATCCTGTCAGACTTAAAAGTTCGGTCTGTTCATCGTAAGATTCTTAGGTCGCATTCACAACAGATGATCAGCGGACTAACTGATGTACAGACTGAATATGGCCGACATTACTTAAAAAGCAAAACCCAGTAATCGCTTAGAGGTCTCCTTGACTCCCCACCCGCCTTCCCTGTAAGTGCATAGCAATTTAACCTCAATGCCAACATTTAATACGTGTGAAGGCGGAGAGACAGATGAGGGATTAGGCGGTCTTGCTTTCATGTACCGGTAGGATCCCCCATATTTGATTCACGGATCAGTACAACCGATGATCATCTGTTCTGAGTGTATCCTTAGAAAATAATAATTCCAACCAATTTTTATCATAGTTAGTGAAGGGACAACAATAGAACCATCGACAACCACTACCACTGGTGAGGTAACAACTACTGAAGCAGCCACTACAACAGTGGAGGGCACTACTACAACTGAACAGCCAACTACCACTGCTGATGTAACAACTACTGAAGCTGCCACCACAACAGTAGAGAGTACTACTACAACTGAACAGCCAACTACCACTGCTGA